CACCAGCATAAAGAGGAATTTTGCCTTATAAATTCCTAAGATTTCACCGGATTTTATGACATGAACACAAGCATCGTGATAATGAAATTAATAGTAAATTCAGATAAAAATTATCTAAGTAAATTGAGACTTTTTTTTTTCCTCTTAACTATGTTGTAAAGAACGTGTTTGCATTATGTTGAAGTGCCCAGTGGTTGCGGCCAATGAATAGAATTATAACTCAGTTTAAAAGTAGTTTAATATTCTAGTGGTAAAACAATTAGAAGTTAAGAATTTAGCATTTTTTTATATTATTTTCCCTCTGTAACTCTAGTATGTTTCAAAAAATAGGTGAGCCCCAATTAAAAATCTGACTTGCTTTCCTGTGTCACAGAACTAAAGATGAACTGAAAACAGAAATCTCAAAATGCAATGATGCTAGTATGTTACATTTCAGTACTTTAGTATTCATTATGTACATTTGGCCAGTATGCAAGAGAAAGAACAATAAAGGGCCAAATTAAAAGTTTGCTTTGTAGGATAAATTATTACCAGTTCATTCTGCTCCAGTGTGTACTGGTAACACTTGTAAGCAGTTCGTCCTCACATTTTTTTTTTTTCCAAAACACTGTTGCAAAATTGCCTTGCCTGTTTTTCCCTCCTTTGCATAGTCTAGGTCCTTAAATTTCAGCAATTCTAAATCAGAATGGCATCTAATAGGTGACACATGAAATGTATTTGCTATTAATTCAAACATTTATGGCATATTCATTAGGCAAATATGTAATACATATTTATCAAGTCACATTACTCTGTCCAGTAATTAAAAGAAAGGGACGAGGGGCACCTGGGTGGCTCAGTCGGTTAAGCGTCTGCCTTCGGCTCAGGTCATGATCCCAGGGTCCTGGGATCAAGCCCCGCATCGGGTTCCCTGCTCCGCGGGAAGCCTGCTTCTCCCTCTCCCACTCCCCCTGCTCGTGTTCCCTCTCTCGCTATGTCTCTCTCTGTCAAATAAATAAATAAAAAATCTTTTAAAAAAAAAAGGGGGACGAATATGTATCTCTATCTTTTTTTTTTAGCAAAAGAAGTAATTTGTAGTAAGCACTTCTAATTATCTCAGCCAAATGTTTATAGCATTGGAAAGATAAGACTTGTTGTTTGAATCATTTAGATTTTATAGGTAATTTTTATATAGAAATACTTCTCTTCTGTTGATGCTTTTGTACCTCTACACATATATGGCAGATTACTGAAATAATAATTTGTCCTTTAGCTATAGTGAGTAAGACTCTTTTTTATCCCTAGTTTGCTAGATGCAAACTTTAGCCATTTTTATGGCCTTATAGAGATAGTAATGCTAATTAATGTTTTAATAGGAAAATATGTTGGCCAGTAAAACTATTAAATTTGAAACATGGATTATAAATTCAACTTGGTTGCCCTAATGACAATGTTGATAGTGATAATGATTATGCAATTAATATTTATGGAGTGCTTCTAGAATGCTAAGCTCTCTGCTAAACATTTTACTTACTATTATTTAATTTCCCCAACTACTCAGTTAAAGGAGATGTTCTTAGGCCAACTTTACAGATGAATTTATAACCATTATATCTCACATTTAATAATAATTAAAATATACTGCTATGTTAATAACATATTTTAGGGGCACCTGAGTGACTCAGTCGGGTAAGCGTCTGCCTTCGGCTCGGGTCATGATCCCAGGGTCCTGGGATTGAGCCCCACGTTGGGCTCCCTGCTCAGTGGGGAGCCTGCTTCCCTCTCTCCCTGGGTCTCCTGCTTGTGCTCTCAGTCTCTATCTTAAATAAATAAAAGCTTAAAAAAAAACAAACATATTTTAAATATTCAACTCTGAAGCTTTGCCCATGTGAAATTTCTATGTATATATAGTAGATATGTGTGTATAAGTATATATATACATATGTATGTTTGTGTATATATGAATATATGCATATGCGTATATGCATATGTATGTTTGTATGTGTATATATATATATGTATATATATGTTCTTTTGTTCATCCACAAATACTGATTTGTAGACTACATGTTATAGGCTGCCTTGCTAAAATCTGGAGATAGTACAGTGTCTTGCCTTTAAGGGATTTCCAGTGTATTGAGAGAAGTGGACTCATTTAAGATAAAAGTACAAGAAAATCTGATAATTGCTTAATTCTTTTTAAAGATTTTATTTATTTATTTGACAGAGAGAGAGAGCACATGAGGGAGCAGCAGCGGGAGAAGCAGGCTCCCCGCTGAGCAGGGAGCCCAACACAGGGCTGGATCCCAGGACCCTGGGGTCATGACCTGAGCTGAAGGCAGACGCTTCACTGACTGAGCCACCCAGGCGCCCCTGATAATTGCTTTAATAGGGAAAGTACAGGGTGTTGTAGAAAAAAAGGGAAAGAGGGCACCAGCTTCCTAGAAAGTGTCAGAGAGGTCTTTGCAGAAAGGAGTCCTATCTCTGAGACTTGATGAATGAGTTTGAAACGATGACGTGCAGAGGGGACAGAGAAGACGAGGGTGTGGAGATGAGCAAGAGCAAGGCAGGGATGGTGAGGTCAGGAAGCCACAGGGACGGAAGTGCTGAGCGTCCAGGCCGCTGGACCAGGGACATGGCAGGTTGGGGTTGGATCTCAAGGAGCCTCGCATGCTGTCCAGAGGAATGCAGATTCTGTGTTGAAAAGCCATCAGCAAATTAGTGTCTATAATGTGCCAAGCATGTGTTGAATACTGAGGATAAAAGGGTGGACAAGAATGTACACAGTTTTGCTTTCCTGGAGCTTACTAATTAGTTAGAGAAACAAGCATTAATCAACGAATCCAGCAAAAAAAAATTTAAAAAAAAAAGTATAAAGGTGACTGGTATAAAAAAGGAAAGTGTTTCCCTCAAAGCATGTTGTAGGAGGTAATGACCTGGCCGTGGAGGTCAGGAAAGTCTCCCCCAAGCGGGAGAGGACTGAACTGAGATCTGAAGGAGAAGAGAATACAGGGTCATCTGAAGAAGGTGGGTGATTTGGGGAGAAGAGGAGATCATGTGCAAAGGCCCTGAGGCCTAGGAGAGCAAAGTGCTCCTTAGGAATTAAAAGTAAGCCTGGAAAAGCTGGAGTGCAGGCTGGAAAAGAGGACAAGGACTGGACCGTACTGGGCCTTGGAGGCCATGTTAAGAATCTAGCTCAATGGAAAGCCATTGCATTACTGTAAGCAGGAGCTGAGGATGGGCAGGAGGAGAATGGGCTGAAGGGTGGCAGGAGTGGGAGCAGGGAGACCATTTGGGAGGCCAATGCAATAGTCCCGGTGAGTCCTGCTACTTGGTGGCCTAGAGCAGGGGTGATGGTGTAGGGGAGAGTTAGAAGGGCCGTGTGCTGGTGGTAGAATCCATGACTGGTTGGTTGGGTATCGGGCATAGTTAGGTAGAGGAAGGTGTCAGGGTGATGTTGGTGGCCATTGCTGAGCTAGGAAAACAGGAGAGGGCAGAATCCACTGCTTGGATTTCCAGGAAACATCAGACTGGGGGGAGTGGATATCATAAGGAATTGAGGTTTGAGGTTGGCCTTGAAGAATGAATAGGCATTTTCTAGTTGGCAAGTAGTAAAAGGCATGCTAATCAAAGGGAGTGGCATGCATAAAAACACAGAGGGATATAACCAAAATAGTTCGAAGAAATATACACACACACACACGTCTAAAAGGGAAATTAATATTGACCCATAAATAACTGCTGGTTTCTTGATAGGCTCACATCTATTTTGTGTTGCAGTGATTCGAAAACCTGTAGTATACAGAATTTGTAAATAGGTAAATAGGTAAAAATGTTTAAGTATTTTTTAAACCATAGACATAATATATAGAAATTCCTTTCTTTACTTCCATATCTTAAATTAGGTATTCACATATGGTTCTTGATTTTGTTAATCTTTCTTCTTTCCAATAAAATGTAGCCATTTAGGGAGGACTTGGATTTTAGGTTTTTCCTTTGTGGTTTCGCATCTGGATTTGGGATTAGTTGGCATTTTTAATTGACTAAAATAACTACGAATTTACTCTTGATTGAAATAGCAACATGTTGATTTCAATTTAGCTTGGGAATTAAAATCGAAGGGCAGCCACATCCAAAAAGAGTTAGTAATGCTAAGACCTATGTAACATATCAACTCCGGGAAAAAATAAGGTGATGTCAATTTTATACTTAATGTTTTTATAATAAATACAAGCGTGTTGATAGCAAGATCAATTTGAGAGAGATGGTACAGTACTGAAATTATAAACATGGCCTCTGTGAACAATATTGGCTTAAATCCTGGCTTTAACATCTGCTAGCTGTCCGAACGCTCAGATTTCTTGTCAATAACAGAGATAGTAATGATTGCCAGCTACTTTACAGGGTGCAATATGGTGGGGGTAACGTGCATAAAGCCAAGAACATATTAAGTGTTCAGTAAATGTTAGTGATGACTTTGAATTTTATCACCAATACCGTGCTGGACCTGAGTCATCAACAGAGAGGCACATAGAGTTGTGAAAGTGGACACAGGCTGTTACGGTAAAACCAGGTACTGAATTTGCTTCACTTTGTGGCTGGAAGGAATCTTCAAGATACCATCAAATTCAGTAACGTTGCTGACATTTTCTGGAGGAGAACTATTTTTTTTTTTTTTTTATTGCTCTGAAGTTTTAGAATCATTAGGGAAGGAGGGGAAGGGACCACATCATCTTGACGGTGATATCCCTGAAGTTAGAAGATGGGGTGGGGTGTGACCCCTGGCCAGAACCCTCTCATCCCCAGTGATGAGGACCTGCTGTGGGTCTGCTTGCTGAGTTTTTGACATTCTGCCATAAAAATTGTGTGTGTGTGTGTGTGAGAGAGAGAGAGAGAGAGAGAGTGAGAGAGGGAGAGAGAGATTATGCAACTATGTTTCTCTTTTCTGTGACTTCAGCTAATGTGAATGAAGGCCATTGAAAGCTGCCTAACTCAGTGGGAAATTGTTTTTATAATTACAGGTCTAGGCATTTTACACTGAATTTCTCTACTGCCGCCCCCTCCACTCAAGCAAAATCTGTGTGGAAAGATCCACTGGGAAGGAACTGACGGCTTATGTTTCTCCAGTGTGATGAAAGCACATGGTACAGGTAAATATCTCCAAAATCTTTAACTAAAAATAACCGTCCTTTAGTGTAAGGTTCCCAAGAGAGTGGTGGGGATGTATGCATACCTATTCTCACACACACACACAAACACACCACATAAACATACATCTAGAGATGCATATTCTCCAGCTATTTCTTCTGTCTGTGTCTTATAAAAATGCAACCCTTGCTTTTTTTGTGGGAAAGAAAATAGCTTCTAATTATTTTGAGATCACTGATTAGGATGGATGATAAGGCATTGATAAGAAAGAGAGAATTCTGATGACGTGGTGTTCATAAATTCAGCTAGAGAGACTACCATCAGATGATAGTAGGGAATAATACAATATACACTATTACCTAACTTTTTTGTTCCTCCTAAATATGTAATAATGAACATCTTTTCATAACAATGGATGTATATTTACAGCATGATTTTTAATGATTATATATAGTAGACCATTGAATGTATATCTTAAAATATATTTAATTGATCCCCTCTATTGGACGTTTAGGGTGTTTCTATTTTTTTTGGCTTTTATGCTACCATGAATGTTCTTATAGCTTTATTTATTTATTTTTATTCTTATGTTAATCCCCATACATTACATCATTAGTTCTAGATGAAGTGTTCCATGATTCATTGTTCGTGCATAACACCCAGTGCTCCATGCAGAACGTGCCCTCCTCAATACCCACCACCAGGCCAACCCATCCTCCCACCCCCCTCCCCTCTAGAACCCTCAGTTTGTTTTTCAGAGTCCATCGTCTCTCATGGTTCATCCACCCCTCCGATTTCCCCCGCTTCATTCTTCCCCTCCCGCTTTCTTCTTCTTCTTTTTTTTTTCTTAACATATATTGCATTATTTGTTTCAGAGGTACAGATCTGAGATTCAACAGTCTTGCACAATTCATAGCGATGTTCTTATAGCTTTATATTAGTTGCCATTACTAGTAATTTCCTTAGGATAACTCCCTTACCAGTAAATTGGAGAGTTTAAAAGTTTTCAAGTGTTAGGACTTTTTGACACTACGTGTTGCCAGATTATTTTTCTATAAAGTCATACTAGTTTATATTTCCAGAGGCAGCATATGAGAGTACCTGTTTCCATGTAATTTTGCCAGGGCTGAGAATTTTGAAAACAAAGAGTCTTGCCAATTGATTATGAGAAATGGTATCTCGTGTCTCATTTTTTTTTTTTTTTTTGCAGGGAGGCATTTATTTGTAAATTTATAAATCATACTATTTTGAAGAACTTTCCTCCAATAGACAGTAGCATGCTTAAAACTGACCGGTTTTTGACATTTGAGAAATAACACTTAAATCAAGAAGGCGTGGAAGGGTCCTAGAGAATTTCGAGTTGTCCCCCTTTTTTCAGCCAAGTATTTTTAGACAACCACAATATCACTGGGTAGCAATACTTTTTCAACGGAAAACATAGTTTTTCGTTTCTTAATAAGAGTAAAAGTATTTAATAAATGGCCCACATTAAACATGGATCTGAAATTATACTGAAATTGAAGTATATGTATGTGTGTGTCTATCTGTGTATGTACCTACCTGTCCAACATTGGGAGCATGATTCGATATAATTACGGCAGCTCCATATGATTCAGAGGCTGCAGATCACTGTAGACAAGACTGCAGGTTCCAGACTGCTTGGACTCAAATTCCAGTTTTGCTGTTCTCTTGAACATTGGGCAAGTTACTTTACATCTTGTCTAAGGTTATAAAATTTATAGAATAATAGTATGTATCTCATAGGATGTTGTGGCAACAAAATAGAAGTGAAATGTTGAAAATTACTAAAAATCCCATTTCAAAACACTATTTAATGGTAGCAGAAACCGCTCATGATAAAAGTAAAAAGAAAGCAAAATATGACGCTTAAACGTAGTGTAATCCCAGTCTTGTAAAATTATTATTTTTTTCTTCTGCCTCTTTCTTTTCATCCTCTTCTGGTATCCCCCCCCCCAAAAAAAATTGTTTTAATATATTTCTGAATGGCTTTAATTTGAATTAATGGAGTCATCACAGTTCTGGAGAAACTGTCTGACCGAAGCCTGCAAGTCAGAGAGACCCATTGAGCACAGAGCCGTGACATCCGTCGATGTCACCTGGCCCATGGGCCCCTTGAGGCAGCCCTTGTGCGAGAGCAGGTTGCCTTGCTCCTGCACGCCAGTGAGCACCTTGGGTCAGGCAGGCTTCCTGGCCTCTTTGAGCTGCACATGGAGAGTCTCCGTCTGGCTCGGTGCGTGAGCTACCAGCCTCATCTCTTCCCCCACGATAAACAAGCTTCCTTTCCCTAATTAAATGAACAAGAAGGTAGAGTGAGAGACGCCCCCCTCCGCCCCCCGCCCAGCTCTTAGGAAACATATGCTTCATCCCACATAAACACAGAAGGGAAACCTGTGGGGTTGTGAGGCTCCTCAATCCTTTAGCTATATCAGACAGTTGAAAAATAGAAGGAAAAAGAGGCAAAGGGTTATTTGGCATTAAGGAGACAAACACAAGGCCACTTGGTGAGCTTTGGCTAGCGCTTTTCACTGGCTATTCTGCAACCGTTGTGTGTAAATCCGCATATTTGTTTTGGCCCACACTTACAGTCTAACTTGAACAGCTCTGTGTTTTTCAATAAGAGGAGGAACATCTGAATTCCTAATTAAAACAGTTTAGCCTAAGAACTTCTCTTTAATGACTCATAAATTATTCTCCCATTAATGATTGTAAGAGCGAATAAGGAAATGCAACTTGTATTTGCACACATACATCTGTTATTTTGATTAAATGAGTAAGTTCATAAAGGGAGAGAGGACAATAAATGTGTCAGCAAATATAGGGCAGGAAAAGAGTTCATAGTGTCCTGCCAGACTCCAGCGAGGCACCTCACGAGTGTAGGTAGATAGGAAAGCTGGACGTTACAGTAGTGAGAATGGTAATAGCACTACCATATGGAACATTTGGTATTTGGATAGCACTTGGACTCCTCCTAAACTACAGAATCAATAGGAACTCAAACAGAGAGGAAGAAAGAGTTCTCTTCCTGCAAATCCCTGGCTGGGGTGCAGAAATCCAGACGTGTGGATTATCCAGGGCCTTATCAGAACGAATGTCTCTAGGGAGGCAGAAGAGTGCGGGAATATTCCACCCTATTTAACTGTGCTCTAGCCTCACACCCATGGTCCAGCACTTTTTGATTGTCTCCATAACCAAACCATTTTTGCAGTCATGGAGGAAACCTGTCTGCAAGACCAGGCCAAGACCACTGTTGGAAACTCAATTCGTAGAGTCCCACAGGGCCTGTGGGGTGGTTAGGACTCCGCTGGTACAGAATGGAGGCACAGCTTTCGAATTGTAAGAGGCTGAGACCGTGTCTTTAAATTCTAACTCCATTCAGTCATGTATTACCCATTTATTCATTCAGCAAATACCTCTTTGGGGAGCTTCGATGCACTGGTACAGTTCTAAGCACGAGAGATCGCGAACGGAACAAGACGGACAGGAGGCCTGCCCTAATGGAGTTCACATTTCCAAGGGAGGTGTAGTCGACAGCATTATAACCTAGTTCAGGTGAACATGGAGCTGAACTGGGTCGTTCTACAAGGAGGCAGAGAATGCATCTGAAATGAGAGAAGCCAATGGAGAAAGACCCTTTGATCTGAAAGGCAGAAAGAACCAGAGAACAGTCGGCAGTTGGCAGTGAGGTTGTGGTTATTGACAGTGGGACCAGATTGGGAGTGGAGTAGAAAGTAAAGAGAGAAGACAGCTGTGGAACTCTGCTTGGATGAGCATGGTCAGGGCCGGGAACATTCCAGGAGCTGTTGATCTCAACGTAGGTAATCTAAATAGTGCCCGCGATTGGCAAGCCATATTTTAAGCAATTGTGACTCTATGAACATGCTAGATAGAAGGGTGGGTGACGCATGGTATATTGAGATACTTTCTCTGTTCAGCTACCACCCAAAGAATGGACGGGGAGGTGTGTGGTTGCTTTACCAGAACCTGTGTACCTTATTCCAATTTGTATTAACCACATCCCTTTTCTTCGTTATCCACCGCCGTTCATGTTATAGGGGGAGATTAAGTATATAATTAATTCTACCTTCTGTGCACAAGCATAGTTAATTTTACTTGGTTAACTTGAAATGGATAGAAGTTCCATATCAAAATAGTCTCTCTGGTTGTCACATCTTGGCCTCTCCAGTATTTGGTGCCTTTCCACTCTACTTGTTTGTGGGATTATGGTTCTTCTGACCTTCTTCCCTCCATTCCTAGGTATTTAGTGGTCTCTTAAATAATAAAATCCACTCAGAGATTTCTTTTGTCTTTTTTGGCCTTCAGCATGGGTTAGGTAAAGGCTGTATTTCTGGCTTTGGATTGACTGTCATGGGGGGGTGGCTTTTTCTCTATTTTGCCTTTCCCTGGTCAACTGCTTTCTTTTGGGGCTCAAACCTCTACCATATGCTTTACCTAAATGCTTTTTCTTTCTTTGACACACCCAGTTTAGTTGCTTATCCCACTCGCCAACCCAACCCACCCAACCATCCAACACATGCATATACTGTGCTTTCTGGGCTTTGCAACACACATTTCCACGGTTAAAAACCCTATTGATATTCATTAGATATTTAAAATAGAGATCTCCTCCAAACTTATCTTTCAGCATAAATATGTTCTTCCGTTTTCCACTCCAGTTCCTGGAAAAAAAAAAAAAAAAGCCTCCATAATTCATAGCCAGTTTGGGGGAAGGTATTTATTTTGAAACACTTAATGATGTGTTTCGTGGCAAAATGAAAACCGTAGAGACAAAGACTCCAGAGTACATAGTGTTTTAGATGTAGGCATAGCTTTTCAAAATGATTTTGGAGTATATTCGAGTTTCTAAATTTACCAGAAGCGCTTTATTCTTTGAAAGCCTCATAAATCATGTGATTGACTGTGTCAGTGTGCAGACATTCACGTAGTTCCTTTACCTTAGGAAATAAGGTAGATTATTGTGTCA